GAAAATTTTATTCACTTGATCAGTACTCATATATGGAACATTCAGGATTACTTTATTCCGGAATCATCTGTACTGCATGCAAAATGTAATATGAATGATTTAACAAAAGAAAAGTTTATTTCAAAATCAATCCTTTTTTTTTCCAAATTTCCAATCCTTTTTTTTCCGCAAATTTCCGATTGCAGATATTACGATGATGCACCAATATCACCCATTAAGGAAGCAGCATTTCGTATTAATCGTTTACTGAAATATGGTGGCCGGTTTCCGGAATATTTTTATACACGGAATATTAATTTTACATATATTCAACATTTAAATCTTGATTTTATCCTAATAATTCCGTCTATAATCATTTTTCTCCTCACAATTAAGTAATATTATCGTTGTATGATTCAATGCAATATTGATGGGAAATATTTTGACAAATGAAATTCTATCAAAGAGTTTTATTTATACCAAAATATTTCATCCAAATGTAATAAAGTAAAATAGTTAAATGAAAAAAGTGACACAATAATCAGCCGGTTTGAATTTCAAATTTTATATTTGTCAACTTATCAGTTTAGATTTTAGATTGTATATTTGTCAATTCATCGATTTAGATTTTACATCTGATATTTGTCTTTTTATCGATTCAGATTTCAGATTTTATATTTGTCAATTTGCTTATGCTTGAAAACGAAGAAAAAAAAGGGAAGTTGATTAATCCCTTTCTTAACAAATTTATTGTAATAATAATTAAAATAACTTTTTTTTGCATGTTTAGAAATAGAAAATTCTGCACGACTTCAAATTGTTGAAAAAATAGTTTTCTAAAAGAAATTTTGCATATTTTCGAAATGAAAAGAATTTACATTTTAATAATGATATTAGAAGTGGGAATCATTTCTATTTGAAGAAAAACTGTTTAATCCTTTTCAAAATTTTATGTCATAAATTTGATGTCATTTCGCTAAATAAGTTTATTGTTTCATTATTAACATTTGTCTATTGGTGGGAATTGTGACGTTTGTCTTCTTCAACAAATTTAACACCCTTGACATTTCTATATGTTTGATAAAAATTAAGTGAATTTAATCAAAACCTAATTTTTGAGGTTTGCAATACGTGCGCATAAATAATTAAGATAAAGGGATTTGAAAAAAAACCAATCAAATTTACAATTTATAAAAAGTTTCGAAATTCGACGTGCATCTGATTAAAGGATTAATTTAATTTTTTATTAGAAATAAAGTAAAAGTGTATTTTTACATTTAGAAGTATTAAATTTTTCGACTGAAGTTCAAACTAAAATTTACTAGTTCTTGCAAATACAAGAAAGTATTCTACAAAAAACAAAAATTTTTTTCTCTACTAATGTTCTACAAAAATAGTATAAATTGTATTAAGTAAACAGAGAAAGAAAAAAAATTTTAAGTAAATAAATTTTCAATTTTTTTTTTTTTTGTTTGTTCAAATTTATGATAACAGTACTGCAAGAGGAAGTTAAAAAGAAGTTAAAAAGAAGTTTTTTTCAAATATTTTCAAAAAAGATTTCAAATATTTAGATATTAGCAAGAAAAATATTGTAAACTTAAGCGCAAATGTCTATACGATCAGATTCACCGACATCATCTGAAAATTATGGAAATACCGTACGTATGTCTTCATTACGCTGTCCAATACGCCCATGTACACAGGAAATGTTGGAGAACTATATGTCACGAGTGATGCAGTTAATGTCCGGAACAAATCGAATTTATACCGTTTTTGAAAATTATGAAATTATTGAGGTGATTCTGAGCTTGCTTATGCCCTTACGCTTGGATAATAATCAACTTGAGTGACCGTAATTGATAAATACCAAATGAATCAAACCTAATTACTATCCCATCGGCATCGTTGAAACGTTTCATAGTCCTTTTTTTTTCGGGAAATATGTATCCAATATTGAATTGTTCCAAATTTGGGAAAATTTAAAACATTTAATTATTTAAAACTTTATATTCAAAATATTGAAACATAGTGCCATTAATTGAAATTAATTTTTTCCTTTAAAATCTGTTATTCAAAAAAATATTTCTTTCATTTTTATAATTTAGAATTCGTGTGTAAATGTTTTTACTTCGTACTTTTCCATAATTTCAAGAAATTTGAAAAAAAATGAAGTTCCGAAAAATTAATTAACATATAAATGGTTGAAAAAAAACTGAATTCCTAAAAACTTGTAATTTAATTTTGCTTGAACAAAGTTTTATTAGTTGAATTTGAAAATAGCTAAATGAAATATTTTAAGTTCAAAAACATTTTTACTCCCAATGTTAAACAATAATATTAAACGACTCTGTCAAAGAAATATTATATTGATAATATTAATTTTACAATCAACAAAGTTTTTTTCACATAGTTATTTAATGTTATAAATTAATTGAAAGTAATGAGAGTCAGCTGACATTAAATTATGTAATCTGTTTTGGGACGCAAAGAAATTAAAAAATTCTGCTAAAAATAGCCAGAAATCCTTTTGTCAAATGCTGCCGTTGCCGGTAATAATAATAATATAATAATAATAATAGTAATGATAATAATAATAATAATAATAATAATAATAATAATAATAATAATAATAATAATAATAATAATAATAATAATAATAATAATAATAATAATAATAATAATAATAATAATAATAATAATAATAATAATAATAATAATAATAATAATAATAATAATAAACTAACAACAATAAATAATAATAATA